GTTTTTCTGTCAACAATATACATAATTTTAACAATTAAATCATATTTTCTTGTTTGGCCCCTACCAAACGCCCACATGCTTTTAAGCATAAGTTAGTAATAACATTTAAATGCTATCAGCTAAAATCAAGCATTTACAAATTATCTGAAAAAATCTTAATTTGCAACCTCGAGCTTACGGCTGTTTAAGGAATATACAGTATCGTGCCTTTAGTGACCCTCCAAATTCATGTTCAGTGCGTATATTTTTGTGTTTTAGTAAACTTTATCTGTATACTAAACATACAGCTCAAAGCACTTTTTATACTCACATGCTTTTTGCACAAATTAAGGTACAATTTTCTTTCAATAAATTTTAAACTATCGAGCTTCAGTTCAAGAAATAATCCTTATATTATTAAATATTTCATGATTATGGTGCATATTCTCTGATTATAAATCATTATTCTGAGTTTTAATCAACTCGATATCTTTAAAGGAAATTTGTTTGTACACATTCATGACGACGTTATATGTGTGTGATTCTACCATAGGTATTCACAAATTAAATACTCGAGCTCTTTCTTGATACTATTTAGTTGAAATGTTCAAATTGACTTCTTATATATAGATGAGTATTTTTACTAAGTACTTTGCACATTTTCCATATTTGTCTTGGTTTTGTCGAAATGCAGCGCTGAAAAATGACAAAACTCTATAAAGAAATCATGTCAAAGGATTGGATAATAAAGTATTGTTTATCTTTCAACATAGTAAATTGATACTTTTGAAAAGAAAATTCTTTCACATTTATGGCCTGAAACTTCAAAATCTTTCGTTGTTTTCGCCAAAGTTTTTCAAAGTGTCAAAGTTTTAGATAAAGTTTCTCAAAGTGTCAAAGTTTTCGATAAAGTTTTTAAAGTATCAAACTTTTCAATAAAGTTTTTCAAAGCATCCCAAGTTTTCCATAAAGTTTTTTAAAGTGTCAAAGTTAACAATAAAGTTTTTTAAAGTGTCAAAGTTGGCGATAAAGTTTTTCTATGTGTTAATTAGTATCCAAGTTTTTGATAAAGTTTTTTAAATTTTCAAAGTTTTCGATAAAGTTTTTTAAAGTGTCAAAGTTTTCGATAAAGTTTTTAAAGTGTCAAAGATTTTTATAAAGTTTTTCGAAGTGTTGAAGTATTCAAGTTTTCGACAAAGTTTTTCAAAGTAGCAAAGTTTTCGATAAAGTTTTTCAAAGTATCCAAGTTTTCGATTAAGTTTTACAAAGTATCAAAGACTTTGATAATGTTTTTCAAGGTGTCAAAGTTTTCGATAAAGTTTCTCAAAGATTCAAAGTTTTTGATAATTTTTTTAAAGTTTCAAAGTTTTCAATAAACTTTTTCAAAGTTTTAATGCATCCAAGTTTTCGATAAAGTTTTTCGAAGTATCCAATTTTTCGATTAAGTGTCATATTAATGTACAAAAAATAATCCGTGAACTGCACTGTTTCTGCATTTAGGCAAGGTAAAGGTATGCTCTCAAATGAACTGATACAAAGACGGCTGTATTTGACAAGAAACCATGAAAAAATCATTTGGGAACTGTCATAATCTTTCAGTCAAGTGCATATAAAAACCGTACCAATTATTGGGAATTATGTTAAAAGTAATGGAAAAAGAACAAAATGAAAGTTATAAATCAGTTTTAAAATATACACTGTTGACACATTATACAATTTTGCCTTAGAACAATGTAACATAATTTTTGCGAAAAAAAAAACATGTGAGTTTAAAAAGTGCATTGAGCTGTATGAACAATTCTGTATAATAATTTTGGCTTCAATTCAATAATATGGGAGATATGCGTGAATTGATGACTTTTTTGCCATTAATGCTATTAAAACCGCATAAAGAAAAATGATTGCAAGTTCTTAAACTATAAGCATGTTAAATCCTTTAAAAAATTGATAAAGCTTGCATAAAAATACTCATATTGATTCTTTTTGGTATTTTTTCTAATGTCAATATTTTTTTTTTAATTTTTATTGACATTAATGTATCTGCTTATAACTTGTGCTTTTTATTTTTTGAGTTTCTTTACTCTTAATATATTCGATTAATCAGACTTGCATTATTTAAAAAAAAACAAGAGGCCCATGGGCCACATCGCTCACCTGAGAAGCTTTGACCATTCTGTTCTTTACCAAATTTCTTCCTTGTAATACATAATGCATCCCAACCCTACCCAACTGATAATAATTTAGACATTTTGAAATCTACACTACCCCAGGATTCTTCCATGTGCACATTACTTTAAGCTTTTCTGGGCCAGTGGTTCTTGAGAAGATCTTCAAAGATTGTTCCTATATATTTCTATGTAAAACTTTGATTACCAATTGTGGCCCCGCCCTTCATCCAGGGGTCATGATTTGAACAAATTAAAATCTACCCTATCCCAGGATGCTTCCACATAAGTTTCAGCTTTTCTGACCCAGTGGTTCTTGAGAAGAAGATTTTCAAAGATTTTTCCTATATATTTCTATGTTAAACTTTGATTATCAATTGTTGCCCCATTCTTCCCCCGGGGATCATGATTTGAACAATTTAGAATCTACATTACCCCAGGATGCTTCCACATAAGTTTAAGCTTTTCTTGCACAGTGGTTCTTGAGAAGATTTTTCAAAGATTTTTCCTATAAATTTCTATTTAAAATTTTGATTCCCCATTGTGGCCCCGCCCTTCCCGGGGGGTCATGATTTGAAAAAAATTAGAATCTACACTATACTAGGATGCTTCCACAAAAGTTTCAGCTTTTCTGGCCCAGTTTTTCTTGAGATGAAGATTTTCAAAGATTTTTCGTATATATTTTTATGCAAAACTTTGATTCCCCATTGTGGCCCCGCCCTTCCCCCGGGGGTCATTATTTTTAAAATTCAAAATCTACACTAACCTAAAATGCTTTCACGTAAGTTTTAGCTTTTCTGGCTCTATGGTTCTTGAGAAGAAGATTTTCAAAGATTTTTCCTACACAAGTGAGTTAAGGCTTGATTTGTGTTTTCTGTGTAAATGAGCTAATAAAAACGCATATATTTTATAATTTATGTACAGAGAAAGTTCAAATTGATTTTCTTATACATACTAAATACCCACAGTATATTATTGCAAGTACACATTATGACGTCATATTATGACGTCATAGATCTTTCCCATTCAAGGTTTTTTAAAACAAATCAACAGAACAACGTCGGCGCAAGGGAATATCCTATTTAATTTAAAATAAATAAAACATAATATAAAGAAAAATGTTCTTAAAATTAATGCAAATCATATCCTCTTCTTAAAACGATAAAAATTTTACTAAACTTACACTGGACTGTACATTTTAACCCTGTTTCAACTCAGAACTGTGCAAATAGTAACTTAACAATTGCAATGTCGGCATTTGTGCAGCAATATCTTAAATCTTTGGAATATTCTGCTTTTCTTTATACCTTGTTTCTGTAAAACAAAGTAAGGTATGCCCTTGAGCCGAAGTAAGTTTTTTTATGTTTCTTATAAACTTGTGTATTCAAGTCCGATGACGTCATAATATGTTGTAATAATGTGTACTGGCAGTCCCATATCGTAGGTACCAAGAATGTATTAAAAAAACAAGTCTTAACATTTTTTAGCGGTATGTATAGCAATAATGGGTCTTAATCATTTTGCATAGAAAACTCCATACGTAGCCTTAACTCACTTGCGTATGTATTTCTATGTAAAACTTTGATTCCCCATTTTGGCCCCGCACTTCCCCCGGGGGTCATGATTTGAACAACTTAGAATCTACACTATCTTAGAATGCTTCCACATAAGTTTCAGCTTTTCTGACACAGTTGTTTTTGAGAAGATATCTTAATGACTCGACCCTATTTTTGTCTTTTCTTTACTATTTTCCCTTGTGAGGGGACTTGGCCCTTTAATTTAACAATGTAATTTCCCTTCACCCAAGGATGCTTTGTACCAAGTTTGGTCGAAATTGGCCAAGTGGTTCTTGAGAGGAAGTCGAAAATGTGAAAAGCTTACAGACGGACAGACAGACGGAAAGACAGGTGGACGGACGACGGACAAAATGTGCTCAGAAAAGCTCACTTGAGCCTTCGAATCAGGTGAGCTAAAAATGACAGCGCGTTATAGAATGACTAATGTACCAAAAAGTTAAAGTTTTCACCATCAATTCCTATTAGTTAGTAATGCGATAACTTATATAATATATATATAATGCTGTTTTTCTGTAAATTCTCAGATCCACGCCTCTGTTGCAGGGGATCTTTACACACGCACTGACCTAGAAGATTCTATCGAGTTCTAACCTTCAATTAGGTATTAGCCAAGAAGACGTCAAATAAGAACATACAGTGTGTATTTTGAAGAACCCCCATCACCTACAATGTAGGCAATTGTTTGTGATTTCTTTGCAGCTGGTTTTCTTAATAAATAATAAGGCAGATCGCTCGTTGTGCTTTTTTAACATCTCTATATTAAGAAAATCGTATCATCGCGTCAATCCAGTCGGTATAATCATTGGGAGGCCTCGCAATTTTTGTATGTAGCGTAGTGGAGTCAGCCGTGGATTGCCGATTGATAAATGGCAGCTTATGTTAGGACTTCACATTGGAAATCAAACTTAATGTTTCATCTCTCGTGAGAAATGACAATAACTAGAATTTCTTGGGCTTAAGATTCCGAGCACGGTGAAACTTGGCAAGAATTAGATGAGAGTCGGGTCCGCTTCACGCTTGCGTTGGAAAAAAGTGAACCCGGAAAACGCAAGCAAACGTGGAAAGAACCCAAAGCGCACCCAAGTTGCACCCAGAACGGTCTCAAAATACTTAGAAAAGGAAACCCTAAGTGGCACCAAGCGGACCCAGGAAACGAAATCGGGTGCGCTTCGGGTTCACTCTGGTGGTACATGTAGGTTGTGTGCCGTCGGTACATGTACAGTAGAGACTTTTTCGTTTACGTTTGTATTAAACCTTGTATATAATATATGTATGATTAGTTCTTACCTGTTCCAGGTATAAAGGGATCCCTCTCAAATGTCTCGGACTCTGAATTAATTCAAACAAAAATAATAAATATATAGTGTAAAAAGATGAACAGGTTAAACTAAATTAAGCATAAATTCAAATAAATCTTTCTGCAAATTGTTATTATTCCAATTACCGAATGAGGGGGTTTTTGTTTGAAAATTACAATAGAGAAACGTTTAATTTTTTAACTAAATGTAACTTATATACTACAGTGCACGTGCATAATTTGGGGAAAACCTACCGTTCAGGTATTTTAAGAGACTGCCTTAAATTCACTAAAACATCATACATGGAAGGGGCTATTTTTTCTACTTTAAGGCAAAATGTATGAAAATTAAAAAATTACTTTTCGCTTATATTTCAGGAATCACTGTCTAGTTTTGAGGGTATGCTAAGGCATCAACAAATGGGAGAAGCCCGTTATGCTAAAATTATCCCATGTTTCCCACTATTGTTGATGTCCCCGGCATACTCTTAAAACTAGACAGTGATTCTTTATATTTCCATGAAATGGGAGTTGGTCAGCATGGTCAGGAAACCGATTTGTTTGGATGTTAAAATAACATAAGAAGTTGAGTTGCTTGAGAAGTCGGATGGTAATGACTGATGGACGATGTCTGTATTAGATGATGGAGTACGTGCAGATCCATGTGGCAATGTCAATTTCTCCACGTGGCTGTTACGGAAGTGGAGTTCTAGGTCTCGCGAGGCATCGGTGATAGTGGACAGCGTTGCGCTAGTGACTTGCTTTCGAGCCGAAGATAATTCATTATTTATTTTGTTTGTTAAAAAGATATATCATATCAAATTACTTAGTAAACAATTAAACAAAACATCTATTTTTTCTTTAGTATATTTATACGCCAATGATATACGTGCAGGTTGACACCTGACCTTTCCGTAATAGAGAAATATACATACCACAGGGTATTACCATGAAATTAACAAGAACAAATTTTGTAGTGTTTATCATAGAGAAAACAATTGGAAATGGAAATATATACACTTATATCATTTCTCGTAAATATTGTAAATATAAATATACAGTGTATATCTAACCCATCTTGTCATTATAAGTGTATTAGGATATAGAATAACACCCATCTTGATCTTGCTACATGTTTTACATGTAACTAAGGTGATGTCATAGACTAGATTGACACACACTTCTGAGAACTTGTGACGTAGCTCAGAATATTTTCGAAGCTTGTGTATATGATAATTAGAATTAAAAAAAAAGAATGATCGTCCTTAAATCGAGTTATATGTTTGAAAGAATTAATCAATATATTAGAAAAAGAAAAGGTCTCTTTTAAAAGCCTCAGTAATGTAAATTTATTATGGGTGTTAATTTGGAAACACTTAACCGATTAATCGGTCGGAACGATCTTGGCAATCGGTAAAAAACTCCTGCCATGTATTAGTAAAAATAAAAAAAAAAAACTCCATATAAATTTGAACATAATGTTGTTATTTTTTTAAAGAAATCTACATAAAAGTTGATTATTCAGCGTGATTACATATCCAAGCTGAATTGGATGTAATTATTGTTTTCCGGATTTATCGAAATCGTGGATAGTTGGTCATATGTGTTAATTGGTGTTAAAGCAATGCTCCCCGGCCTAAATTCCCATACTTCACATTTATAGCAACCCTCCATTTTTAGTTAGATTTTGTTTAGTTTCTTATTCACGCATGCCTTTTAGACCTATTGTTGTATATAAAATCACCTATATGTTTCTTAGTCTCTGTACACTATTGTAAAATGGTGAAGAGATTCAAATAAATGATTGATTGGATTAATGGGTCGGAAAGTTGATCAGCAATTATGTATTCCATTGCCATTCCTGTTATTTATATGTCATAAACATATGAAGATCCCAGACATATTCCCTTCGAAAATCTCAAAAGTTAAAGGATTTCTCTTAACAATGAATTATGATTTTTAGGCACGTGTAGCTATTGTCCCTACTTTTTAAAAGTGCAGAGAGAACGTTGTGCGTGGTTTCTTTTTTCCGTATTTGTTTCATTTTTCCAATGCGTTTAATTTTAATGTTTGAAGATTATCAAAAGACATGGAATGGAAAAGTTGGTCCAAGCACTTTTCGGGTTAAAGAATTTGTTTTTAAGACAAGAGGCCCACGGGCCTTAAAGGTCACCTGAGTATTTGTAACAACTTTCAAACACTTGAATTTGGAATAAACCAGAGGCCATGAAATTCACAATTCACAAATTTGAAAGAGGCACCATTGCTTATCATAATTATTAACTTAACATGCTTACTCTATTTACTTAATACCCAGAGGTAGATCAGAGTAACAAAGAGAAAATCCACTTCCACTTTATACCCAGTTGTGCACCTCACCCTAAAGGAACCACTGACCCAGGGGCCACATATTTCAAAATTTTGCAAATTTTAAAACAAAATGGTTGATTAATACCAAAGAGCAGATTTATTTATTTTCAGACTATGTAGCCCCCCCCCCCTTCCTTTGACCTAGGGGGCATAAAATTCACAATTTTATAGGAGACACTCTTGCTCATCATAACTATGTGCTTAGTTAGTTTATTTAATACCCAAAAGCAGAGAAGAAGATTTTCAAAGAATAAATGCATTTTCACTATATGATCAATAGAGCCCTCCCCCCCAACACCAGAACCCTTAACCCTGGGGCCATAAATTCACAAATCTGGAAAAGGCAATCTTGCTCATCATAACTATGTGCTTAGTTAGTTTATTTAATACTCAGAAGCAGAGGAGAAGATTTTCAAAGAATAATTGCATTTTAACTTTGTAATCAATAGAGCCCTGTCCTAACACTAGAACCCCTGACCCTGGGCACTCTTGCTCATCATAACTATGTACTTAGTTAATTTATTTAATACCCAGAAGCAGAGAAGAAGATTTTCAAAGAAATAATGCATTTTCACTATATAATTCATAGAGCCCCGCCCTTACACCAGAACCCCTGACCCTGGGGCCATAAAATTCACAAATCTGGAAGAGGCACTCTTGCTCATCATAACTATGTACTTAATTAGTTTATTTAATACCCAGAAGCAGAGAAGAAAATTATCAAAGAATAAATGCATTTTCACTATATAATTCATAGAGCCCCGCCCTAACACCAGAACCCCTGACCCTGGGGCCATAAAATTCACAAATCTGGAAGAGGCACTCTTGCTCATCAAAACTATGTTCTTAGTTAGTTTATTTAATACCCAGAAGCAGAGAAGAAGATTTTCAAAGAATAAATGCATTTTCACTATATAATTCATAGAGCCCCTCCCTAACACCAGAACCCCTGACCCTGGGGCCATAAAATTCACAAATCTGGAAGAGGACCTCTTGCTCATCATAACTATGTACTTAGTTAGTTTATTTAATACCCAGGAGCAGAGAAGAAGATTTTCAAAGAAATAATGCATTTTCACTATATAATCTATATAGCCCCGCCCTAGCACTAGAACCCCTGACCCTGGGGCCATGAATTTCACAATTTTGGTTGAGGACTCAATGCTCTTTACATTCATGTCAACAGTTTGCCTGCTTGATGTCCAGGAGTATAGAAAAAGATTTTTAAAGATTGCACTAATTTTAGTGGTTTTGGCCCCATCCCTCAGGCCCCAGGGGGGTGGGGACCATGAAATTCACAATTTTTGTTCCCCTTTACCTATAGATGCTGTAAACCAAATTTGGTTGAAATTGGTTCAGTGGTTTCAGAGAAGAAGCTGAAAATGTTCAAATGCTAACACACGACTGACGACGACGGACGAAAACGGATAGCAATAGGTCACCTGAGTTACTCAGGTGACCTAAAAACACAATCAATTAGTACAGTGAACAATTATCCGTATATTACTTAACTTTTACGATATTTGAAGCCATACATGTATTTTCTTATTTTCAACATGACAAGCAGTTGCTGTAAACGGAGCAATTTTGGCCGAACGCGATAGAGACGGCTTACACAGATACGCACTTATAGAATTTCTTCTCAATATATAAACGCATGCTAAAAAATTAAAATTCAACATAATATTTATTTTCACAAAAAAATTTACATGTAAGATGTATTCTTAAAGGGCGTCCTTAACTTATAATTAGCTGTGTTGATATTATATGTTACAATAACAAATGCAAAGTTTTGCCTTTTAAATCGTTTACATGTATATGAAGAATTTTTTACATTCTTCAGTTATTATAAGATCTCAAACCCAATAATATAACGTCAATCAGCTCAAAAATCGGTTAAAAACTTTAACATAGAATTTCAATTAATTTTTTTTTTAAATGTAATTTGTTCATTCGTTGAATTGTATTAATTATTATATTTTAAAAAAGATACTTTAAACAGTAAGTACACTTCATTTTACTGTAATTCTCGAAGCATTATCCAATGGAAATTCCAGTCGAATGCTGCAAGTAATGTTGCATTTTAGTATCCGAGTTCTAAGGAAAGATACTACATATGTGTAATCAATGACATGCATGTACATGCACCTTGTACCCGACAATGTCTACATCATTGTAATATCATCATTGTAATAACGATGACATTATTTGTCTATAGAAATTATATATCCAGAGGTGAATTATATTTTTACACATGTAATTATTTATATTTATATTTTTATAATGGAGATTTAAAATTGCAATTTAAAAAGTGGGTTATAATATAAGGTCTATGTCAAATAAATTGAAATGGCACAACATTTTTTTTCTTGCATTTAATGATTCATGTAACTAAATCAATTTACTCATTTATCTGCTATCAAACTTGTATGTACTGTTTGTTTGTCAAGCAGTCTTTCTCTGAAACAATCTGTGTTTGTAATCTTCTTTCTTTATCTCCTTTTAAACAATATGCACAGATGACCGACAATATATGCAAATACATATAATAAGTGATTGAGAATACTTGCGTTATTTTCAGACTAAACATTTCGCCCACCTCTTGTTCGGAGATTTTGACTTCAAGATGATGCTTGACTAATGCTTTCATTCATAAGTATATGATGCTCTCGGAATGTTTATGTCTTTTTTTTATTTTAATTCATTGAATAACAAAAATATTTATACCTGATGTGATCAAAAATGACTGTTATGACTGCTTTTTTAGATACTACTTAACAGTCTTATCATAGAAACTCATTTGTAGAAGTTTATAATAATTTGTATACGGTTTATGAAAACAAAAGACTTGCCATAATTTTTGCCATTAATTGAACTGATGGTTTTATTGAAGGAAGGGATATGTTTAAAAATATTTGTCACATGTATCATTTCGGGGTTTTACATTCCAACAAAAGTAAATGAACACTGATGCAGCAAGATTATTTAAGGTCAAACAATTATGCACAGATGGGTCCTCAGCGGGGAGTTTTGCATCAAAGCGTACATCAAGTCATAAATGATGTTCCCCGCATTTGTATTAGCCTGATAATACACCCTTTATTTATAGAATATGACGCAGACAGGGATACCTGATGAAAACCTTTCGCATATTTTAACCAAATGATTAATCATTGAAAACGATATAAAGTATTTTATTATAATTATTTTTTGACAATTTCAGATAACTATGAAAGTTTAATTCAGTGTTTTTATTGCCTCAAAGGTGATTGCGCAGACGTACTATATTCTAACTCGTAAATTTAATTTGGCGGTGAAGAAGCAGCATTTTCTGTTGCTCACCGTCGCAATAGCCGGGCATTTCTCTACGAGAAATGAGCCCGGCTAAAAATGATGTTTGTTCTGTTGTCCGGTGAAAGCAAACTGGACGAGAAAATTGTCTTTTGTTAAGCAATTTTATTTCAAAGATCACAAACTTACATATAGAAAAATAGATGAATATTTTTACAATAACATACATGCAATTATCAAATCTTTAAAATATTGTTTGATTTAGACTTTACGCATATTAGATATGATAAAGAGGAGACACCTATAAACGACGCTCAAAAGACGGAGGACTTGGGTTTTGATGGTCATTATTACAGAGTAGGCCATATCTGACAAATTTACTTTTTTGTTGCAAAAATTAACTTGCTTGATCAAAATATGAGTCCGAAAAAAAATGGTAAGCTTCTGTTACAGAATGCTAAATAGCATGTCACGTGATCGCCTATATCACGTGATCCGCGAATGGGCAGAATAATTGCAAATGCGTATTAAAATAGGACAAGACTACTTCAAAACATTTTGAACACTGAAACCTCATATCATTTCTTATGCGGAAATTATTCAATTAGTTCGCGAACTATTTAATCATCCCCCGTATATCACAGTGATCAAGAAAAAAGGACGCAAAAATAATCAGATTTCTTTTGAATGTCATGTTTTTTGGTTTCACATTTTAACTATTTAAAGGACAAAAAAAAAACTCAAAAGTCATTAAGAGGGAATTTTTGATGTTTTACTTCACAAATATACCTAGTTGAAGTATGTTGTACAAACCTCCTTCAGATCTCAAACTGTTTCTACGTCTCAATCTGTTTCTACGTCTTAATCTGTTTCTACGTCTTTTAATTTTGAAAAAAAACAATCCAACACAAAAAAGAATTATTCCTATGACTGGAGCTGATCTAAAAAAAATATCTCTATATTAATATTTCATTTTTAGATAAACTATCGATTAATATAAAAAAATATTGATGGCTTGTTATTATTGGCGCACTTACATATATATAGCAATATGCGCTTCAGTTTCGTGGTGTACAAAGGTCACAGTTTGATTAGTTGATGGAATTGCTGATGCCCAATCGATTGATTGACAAGGTTCATGTAACAAATACAATAGCATATGTAATCAGGAAATCAAGAAATATCCATGTTGTAACAAAAATGACATTAAATTTGATTAATTAACAAAGCTACTTACACAGGTGTGCTTCTGAAGACAGAAATATTTTGGGACACCTCGAAGATTGACTGCAAATTCTGCTTTCATACGTTTGAAGTACTGTGTTGTTATAAAGAACACATTCTCCTGTAACAGAAATAAATTATTTCTTGAGCCAAAGAACAGAAATAAAAATTGTTTGATGATATTTCAAGTTTAGCATTTCTGCAAGAATAAGAGGATTTCTTTTTTATTACTTCGAAAAAGCATTTTAATGAATATACTTATTATATTATAATATATTATACTATAATTATAACATACTTATAATATTATTCATTGTCCTCATGTACAATATACGAGTATTTTAAATGGTTTTGAGAAAATAAATGAACTTGAACTTGTTTAATTTTTTCTCATTTATTCCATTCTCAATGACCATGTTTTATTGGACATAAATATTTGAGAAATCTATCATCATCAAAAACAAATATTACATACAAATTGAGAAGAATAACATGCATTGTGCGCTGTTTGTTAGTGAAATGAGAACAAATCAGTACACAAAGTTTAATTAATGCATCCCTGATGACAAAGTCAACGCTGAACAAACGATGAACGAACAATCATGCAGCACAGTTAAGGCTACAATAAAGTGTAAAGACTAATTTGTAAGTTAAAAATTAATGTTGACATCATACAAAACCAATTATTCCTAAAAAACCTCGAGATGATTTGATTTACTATCTTAACCCGTACGAAACCATCAATCTTTTTCATTACATTCTACAGCATGCTGTTTTCGTTAGTTAAATGCAACAATACAAGTTAAACACAGGTCGATTATCGCAATGTACTTGACAATTTGACGTCTTTTAACGTTGACACAGTTTTTATGCAGTGAGAGGCAAATCAATTTTTAAAATCAATTTTCTACAAAAAACGTGTGATATAATCAAATATATACATTTGTGGTATTTCTCCATTATGTAAACATACATAGAGAAAATATCTTCAATACTGTATGAAGTTTGTCAGAGGTCAGAGGTCAATACGTGGCCTAATAACACAGCGCAATAATATCTACCGTTACATAAATTATAAAATGACCTGCTGTACTTGCTTTTCATGTATAAAAATGAACAAAATAAGCAATTAAAATGATAAGTATTTTATTTACAATGTAAACACCTATTTCATGCAGTTTTTTGGCAATCGATTCAACCTGTGTACTTAGTGAAAACTGGTGTTTGTTTACATTTTTTTCACTTTTGTCAGTTGCACAGTCTCTAACGTTCATCCTTATTTTTGTGTAGACCTTTGGTTAAATTTTCATGATAAACTTTTATTTTATCTTTCAATTCTACTCACGATAAATGCGTAAATCTGTTGGAAAATATGATTGCAATCATGCTATGAACAGCTGACAAACACCTCGGCGTTTTCGTAGTTCAATGTAAAGCTGTCGCCAGTGTTTCCGTGTTTACCAGTGTTTTACGATAAGTATGCCTTTAATTACTGAATTCGTAGAATGTTTTTGATCAGATTGCAAATTAACTGGCTCGGACAAGTGTCTCAATCAATCGGATCCATCCATCCCTTTCCGGCGACCGAAATTCCTCTTTCTTATTTCTTTTCAGCATCGATTGTCGATTTTCCCAAATAAAAGTATTCCCAGGCAACAATCTGTTCACTATTACTGATCATAATCAGCCTTTCACAAAATATTCCCTTCGAAATACATTCCTTAGCCCAATGAATTCGAAGCGTAACCGCCATGCAAGCCGATTTACACCTTGCGTCTTTTTCAAAATCTACGACGGACGGTTAGTGCAATAATTTATATTCGAAAATATTCAATTGTCTGTCTCAAATGTATATATAAGTAATAAATAACAAGTTTATAAACTTCAATGGGAATTGAAGTGGGTCAGTACGTGATCAAATCTTCTGAGAAGGCCTTTGGCCTTCACAGGATTTGATCACGTGACCGACTCACTTCAATTCCCATCATTGAAACTGAAGTGGGTCGGTACGTGATCAAATCCTGTGAAGGCCAAAGGCCTTCTCAGAAGACGCACTTCAATTCCCATTGAAGTTTATAAACTTGTTATTTATTTCTTAAATAAAATATTTTTGGCGATATTTCATAGGTCATTAACTTGGATAAAATTTCACGATTCACGATTCTATTAATTTTTTATATATTTTCCGATATTATTTTATAGATTTACAATTAAATTTATTACGCCGTATATATGTATGCAAGTAAATCGATCTAGTGAAAGAGCATACACTCAATGGATCATAATTAGCTTTAATAAATCAATTCTGGAACTATTAATTAAAGGTATCTGCACAGTGTTGCTATCCTGACTAAATTGCGAAATTACTCCAATTTTACCAATATTTAAGACTTTCATTTGACAGCAGGACACTTGACCCTTTGATTTTGACCCTGGAGTTTGACTTAATTTAAAGAAATCTTTAACCTTCGTCCTAATTTCTGAAAGGTTAAGGCTACGACTTCCATACTTTACATTTATACATGTATTCCATGTTGAAAGACCTTTCATTGGATACATGTACCAGCAACCTTGATAATTTTACCTTGACCTTGGAGATTCCCATACTTGTGAAAAAAAATAACCTTGGCCATAACTTTTGAACGATAAATGTAAGTGATCTCAAACTTCACTTATGTAATGCTTGTGAAAAGACCCTTCATTAGTTACCAAGAACTTTAAACCCTGTAACCTTGACCTTGGACTTTGACCTACTTTTAAAACGCGAACCATGACTAAAACTTTCAAAGGGTAAGGGCTAGTGCTTTTACATTCTACATATTTAATGCTTTTGACAAGACCTTTCATTTAAAAGCAAGGTATTTGACATTGACCTTGGAGTTTGACTTACTTTTAGCTCACCTGATCCGGAGGCCGGAGGGTGGAGCCAAAATGGCCGATCAAAGTTTTACATAGGATTATATAGGAAAAATCTTTTAAAATCCTCTCAAGAACCATTGGGCATGGAAAGATGAAAATCCTATGGAATCATCCCCAGGTAAGGTAGATTCAAGTTTGTTCAAATCATGACCCCGGGAAATACGGTGGGGCGACCGATAAAAGTTTTACATAGGAATATATAGGGACACTTTTGAAATCTTCATTTCCAGTAATTTAAAGCCATGCTAAATGATATTTTTAGGGAATCATCCTCAGGTAGTGTATATTTTAGTTTGTTCAAATTATGACACCTTTGGGTTTAGAATTCAAGACCATCCCCAACCTTAGTAGACTTTCAGTTCTGATCTGATATGTGCTTTTTTCCAAGCCAATTGCTCAGGTGGCCCCTGGGCCTCTTATTAATTTTTTTAACCTTTGCCATAACTTTTGAACGGTTAGGGCTAGAACTTTAATACTTCACTTGTGTATTATTTGTGCCAAGACCTTTCTTTGAATACCAATGACCTTGACCTTGAAGATTTCCGTACTTATTATGAAAAAAGCTTAAACCTTAGCCTACTTTCATATTCATAATTGAATTTCTAGTGAAAAATACCCTTCTTTTGGTACAAAAGTTTAATCTTTGTATGTTGTCATACGGGGGCATCAGTGTTTCACAAAAAAAATTTGTTCCTCCTACAGCCATTAAGTTTTCTAATGTACTGGCCATAAATTACTGTTGTATTGATACCTAGAGATTTTTTGATACTTCCCAGAATCAATTTCAACCACCTTGTATAGTTACACTGTTTATTCATTTGATTATATCATTTTTTAGTAAGCTCCGCACATGAAATTAATAAAAGGCCAACTTAGACTGCTAACTGGGACTGCATTCAAGAGCCCATGGAATGTTAGGACCGCTGTGGGACTGTTCTGAGACTCCTCCGCTGTGCGACCTTTAAAAGTCCCAAAAAGCAGAACCTGGGATTGCTTTGTGTCATGTTGGGTCTGGTTGGTACTGTACGTGTGTCCCACAGTGCATTCATTACATTTTTGAATGCAATCTTAGATTACCTGTGCCCACAGTAACTTTAATGAAAAAAAAAATGAAAATAAACCTTAGTTGAGAGGTCAATGAAATTTCAAAAAATGTATGTATACCTTTCAGGAATCACCTGCGCCTAAAGAATAAATGCAATTATGATAGTTTCAAAAGACACTTGTGGAAATTGGTAATGAAACTGCAACGATCGTTAAATTATTTTAAATAATCAGAGTCATGCAGCAATGTTAAGACTTACTATGCGGCATCAACAGAATGTAGACGTGCAAAAAAGGAAAAAGTTTGAATCTGAGTTTATTTTTTAAAGTTGTTTTATTATCACACATCTTGAATACCTATTAATATAACATAGTGTAACCCATTCTGCACTGAATTAATTTAGGTCCCATTGATGGACAGTCACTCGACATATGCATTGTATGTGTACTGAATTTAAGTCATAAACAAGTTTCAATAACGCAGGGACAAAACCTAGTTGAAATTGAAACTGTAAGCTATTTATTGTTTCCTGCATATTTTTTTTCTCTTTTCTCTGATCGCTGTATTAGCTTGATAAAATTGGTATTACATTTATTCTATTTTTAATTAACAATCAATTGTTTCAACTTTTTGTTAACCTCAAGGCATTTGCTTAATTTTTGGCAGATTCCCGACCATTCCAAATGGGATAAATTGTAAACACAACACACTAAAAATAGCAACGTTTGATGACGTTACGATACTCTAGAGAACCGTTCAACTGAAGTAATAAAGCTCTAACAGACGCTTAAAAACACAAAAGAAAATATGAAAAAAAAAACACATATCGCTAGATCTTAAGTATACAAGTAAAATGGGGGTTTTCTGAGCGAAATGTTTTGATCGGATCCTCAGATAGAATAAAAGATAAACAAGTACGGTATAGCAAAAAAATGTTGTCGATGTAGACTGTCGATATAGTGTCAAATGATAGTGAAAATATCGTCCATACCTTTCAAAGAAAACTTTAGAAGGTCCCATGTCCGTGCAAGATCGGATCCGTAACTGTTTATGAAGGGCAAAACACATATAGATCTATACTCACCATAAATGTCTATTTCAACTGCACACACTTCCACTAGGGTCCCAGATAGATCAGTAGGAAGACAGTGATACTTGAATTTTTTGGATGAGTTTGTACAAGTCTGTTTTCCTGCGAGCTTATCACAATCCTTTATCTTTGCTCTCATATCTGTACTTTCTTTATCTTCTGGACATTGTTTTACGTAATGTTTGGTCCTAGCGGACAGAGGGCAAGGCTTTGCAGCGCATGTAGTGAGCTAAAGAATTTCAACAATATAGGTTTTAGGCATTGTTAAACAAATTTAAAACGTAATATCTTATAATTTAAAATTCAGCATCCCATATAAAATATATTATACAGGGTTCTCCATAACTTCAAATTCAACTTGACTCAAGACTCACGCGTTTTTCGCGATTTATTCACATAGAAACCATAAAATAAAATTGAAAATAAAACAACTCCTCCGAATCACAAGTTAAACTTGCAAAATGGATTGAATTATTATGGTACCAGCCACTGAGTATTATGATTAAAGTGCTATATAAGAAATGAAAAATATAAATTAGTAAAAATTACAAGAAACAAAACAAAAGTACTAAATAAAAAGAAGTATTAAGGTTATCTCTAAAGTTATGTTTGTTTGCAATCTCCCGACTGAGGCTCAAAATAATTAGAAGTAATACAGGTAGGTGAGAAAATACAACGAGGCCTGTCTAATCCGACATGCACTGGCAGGGTGTCTGATTGAACAGTGTTTAATAGCAAGGAAAATACTAAAATTGGAAAGAAGGTTTACGTCGGAAAACACTATGTGTCGGATTATTCAGGTGTCGGATTAGACAGTTTTACTATATATTGTTTATCTCATAAAATTCCAACATATATGTATAAGAGATTTCAAGAAAGTAAAGAAACAATTTCGTTTTCCGGAATTCTAAAAGGGTTTTGAAAAGGTCCATTCTAAGCAAGTCGGTTGGCAGAGGGCAACCAAACATTTTCTTTAAAGTGAAAATATTGATATGACAATAGGAAAAATATTTTAATAATAACATAATGATTAAACTCCTTTCTCTCCTCACTAGGTTGTGTTACCTCATTAACTCATCTTCAATCCATATTGAAATAATTCATAAAAATTCTTGCTTAACTTCTGCTTTTTTTATCGTTTCTAAACAAAATTAAAATTAAACTTTTAATTTTAACAATTGAATACTTGAAATGAAAGGTAATTTGACAAAATGAAATTTCTTTAACATTATTATGAATTGATCCTTTCGTCGTCGGTTTGAATCCCACTGTGGGACGTTGAGACTTGTCATTCAGATGAGACCGTATTATTTCCAAATAAATCTCATTTTTGATTCCCTGTGTTTTAATTACAACAAAATCAAGAAAAAGTTTAAACAAACATGTATTGTATAAAGAAATAAACAGTTACTTCTAGCCTTTTAAGCTAAATTATGATTATAGAAACATAAAATTTAATAAAACAAGACTGGCGACAAATTGGACTGACAGACGGGAATATTTTTATTATAGGACACATTTAAATTAGACAAGTTACAGTATTCCATTCAATCAAAAATATATGAGCAAGTAGAATAATAACTTTAGTCTAAGGAGAGATATTGTTATAGTGTCCTTGACCTGGGACTTTCATTAATTATAAATGAAAATTAAAAACAATATTAAAATGTAAGAAAAGCTTATAACTGCACCTGACATATCACTTCAGGCATTTGTACGAAAATGATAACGGAAAGTTTATGTGTACATGAATATCTAAAACCAGTGTTTTAACGAACATGACAAGAACTCACATAGAAGATCATATACACTTAAGAAAAGTCTATATGTTAACAGGAATACTACAGAAATTATTTTTAAAAAATGGTTCATGCATAGAACCCGGGTTAGGCTTTTGATATAACTAAATCTGGACTTCTTTTTAAAAAGGCATTTTGATTCCTCATTTTCTGCCCTTTTTTCCATAATTTAGGGTTTTTTTTTTGCTCAAAACAAAAGACATATCTATAAGCTTATTTTAATATGAACTGAAAATTTCACTGGAGTCTTAAAATAATTTTTTTTTCTTATTACCGATGTATGGGTTTTAGCTTACAAATACGCATACATACTGATTCGTCAAAAGTAAAGACATGCAATCTTAGTAATGACTTCAGTTCCACTTGCTTACCTTAATGGCCTTTTCTATAACTGTAATGTACTTGCCACACATTATTCAACAGACGTCTCAAAGTATGTGTTACGATGACATCGTAATTTTTTTTTTTTGCATCTGGGTGATGAACTGAGAATATTTTTTTCAAAACTGTTAGAAACCTTGAACTATCGTGCAAGGAACCAATCATAAGCCATGAAACCGATTGAAAATTAAAATTCCACTATATTCTACATTCTAGAAACATGCAAACAAATTTTAAAACAACTTTATTTATTTCGGAGTTATTTTTGATTTTTTTTTAATTTGTGAAAATTAAGCTGAAAAGCAAAAAAAGTAAATAGAAGGCATATATGCAAAATCACTCTAGTTTGCACTTAGGAAAGAAATAATAGGCAACTATAAATAATTACACAAAAATATAAATATAAAAATTGTGCATCCTACCCCCGGCCAATAAAAACAAGAGGCTCATGGACCACTTCGCTCACATGAATACTGTGGCTAGGAAAAAAAATATGCCCCCAACTAATTTATCACCAATCATGGCTTTACTGCCTTTGAAATATTTTTCCTCTACATTCCTATAAGTAAAACTTTGATCGGCCATTGTGGCCCTGCCCTACCCATGGGATCATATTTGAACAAACTTGAATCTACAAAAGCTGGGGATGCTTCTACACAAATATGACTAATCTTGGCTTTGCCATTCTTGAGAATAAAATCTTTAAAGATTTTTCCTATATTTTCCTTAGTTAAACTTTGATCGGTCATTGTGGCCTAGCCCTAATCCCGAAGATCATGATTTGAACAAATTTGAATCTACAGTACATGATGATGCATCCATATAAACATGAATAATCATGCCTTAACTATTCTTGAATAGAAGATATTTAAAGAATGTTCCTATTTACTAGTATTTCTATGTAAAATTTTCAGATCAGGTGAGCCAAAGAAAAGGGCTTCAATCTTTGCTAATCATGACATTATTTCGTTCCCAGAAAATTGTAAAAGAGTTTTACAACATATTCCAATATAAAAATCTAGTTTCCTAATGTGGTTTCAACCTTGGTGGCCAATTTGAAACCATTTTGTAACTGCACTACACAAACAGGCTCCTCTAATAATACCCATGACTTTGCTGTTTGTTTAGGTTTTTTTTTTCTTATTTAAGAAAAACAAGCAGTTTAGAGTTATAAAATGGTACGTCAATGAATCTTTTATTTTTCAAAATCCCAAAAGTGGTAATAAATACATTATTACAAGACATCCTTGCACAATATGTCACTCGACGTTTCAATGCAGTTTTGGAAAAGTTTATATCTTCAGTATTCTTAGCAAAATGTTAAGTCGGTATTTAAAATTGACATCAACAATTTAAGGGTAGTACATTGTATGAAAACCTAGTTTGTTTTTTCTTCCATGACTAATTTCCAGCGCAGTTGAAAAGATACCTGGTTTCCATATACATGTAATAGGGTTTGAGTACATCAAAGGATTTTAGATTGGAAACTGAAACTGGCAAATAATTTAAAGCTTCATTCTAAGATTTATACATTTCACATTGACAATAATCATACTCTTGTGATATTTAAATGTCTACATAGACGACGATCTTACTTGAGCGCAAATTGTGATTTTGGTGGAACAATGACGCTTATTTTTTTTTTTTTTCAGTGGCGTTAAGGAATTTCTCCGTCAAGTTTAAGTGGGGAACCCTGGCATTCTATTAAATTATACAGAATTTTGGGAAAAGAAAAAAAATTACTTACGACAATAATCACCAGGCAATGTGAAAGAATAGCAAAATGGTTCAAAGAACCCATATTATGCTTTGATATCACTGCATCTGGAATGTAAGAAAAAAGTAAATTAATTCCTTTTCTTCTGCCTTTTTTTCACATTTGTTTGTTTAAAGCAAGGATATTTTAGCAATTTATAGTGAATATGACAAATTTCGCTATAGTCTTTAAACAGCATCATGATCTTAATACAGGTGTTTATATCTCGGATTACAAATATGTACATACATGTACCTACTGGTTAATTAAAAAGTAAAGATATGGATTCGATATGGAGTTGGAACCACCACTGCATGAAAAATCGGCTTTGCAAGAAAAGTAAAGATAATGTGAATTTATTTTTTACAATGCCTTTAATTGGCTTTTCTGAAAAACGTCAAAGTTGGAAAAGGTAACCTTTAAATTAACTTTTTATGCACTGTAATAGGATGTAATGTACCACTTATCTTGACTTTACAAAAACGTCAAGTTAATATTTACAACCATTTAACACAGTATTTAGGATATATTAAATCTGATAATTACAGACCTTAAATTTAATCAAATACCATCTTTAATAACTACAAAAGTTGATATTTTTTGTTTTCCATTCTAGTGAATGAAACCTTAAGCAAATTATAAATAAGTTTTTTCTTCCAAGTACATAAGTTGCGGAAGTCTAAACATCATAATTAAGATACAAAGTAACAAAGAGTTGATTTTAACTTTGTTTATTACGTTACAAAACATTTTTTACAAACATAAGACCACAGATATCAAGATTCTTGACAGTATATGTAGCCCAAAACCTATCCTGCAAATCACATAAACATCAAAGGCAGAATACATTTCACGAATATGTTTTTCGTACGTGACATGTTTTATAATAAAACCAACTGTACATTCTTGAATTTAAAATTGAGAATCAACATAAAACTGTGTTCCTCTTTCTTGTGGATATTCGTTTCAGTGTAATTCAATAAATGTCAAAATGTTTTTGTCACACCTCCCTTTTCTTCCCATGCAGGCATTCTTCTAATGCTTTTCCTAAAAGAAAAAAAAAATCTATAAGTATATTTTCAGTTCTTTGCATTAGTTTGAATATTTTCAAAGGCATCTGTTATCAGAATTCACAATACCATGATTAATAAAAATAAAAAACAATACAAAACCTAATTAATAAACAAGAGGCCCATGGGTCTTAAGCTCACTTGAGCATCATGCAACATTTTTACAACGATTGAATTTGGTTCATGTTTTAAACTAGACATCATTGCATTCACAATTTTGAAAGAAGCACCATTGCTAGTCCTAACGCTTAGCCTGTTTAGTTTGATTACTTTATACCCATAGACTGAGCAGAGGAACAAAAAAAAATCCATTTCGACTAATCAGTAACATTCATCAATAAATATAGTATCACTACCACACATGAACCCCTGACCTTTGATCCACACATTTCACAATTTTGGTAAAGGCACCTTTGTTTATCAAAAATATTTGATTAATACAAAGGAGAAGATTTCAATCACTTGATTCATTTACAGTATATAAGAAGAGCCACACACCCCCTCTCTATTGTACCCATGACCCAGGGGCGTTGAAGATCACAATTCAGAAAGAATGGCCCTTGCTCATCATAGCTATATATTAGGTAGTTCATCTGCTTAATACCCAGGGGATTTTCAAATAATTTCTGCATTTTCTCTATATAACCAATAGAGCCCCGCCCTAACAACAAACCCCTTGACCCTGGGGTCATGAAATTCACAATTTTGAAAGAATCATTCTTGCTCATCATAACTATATACTTAGTTAATTCGTTAAATATCCAGCAGTAGAGAAGAAGATTTTCAAACAATTTCTGCATTTTCTCCATATTATCAATAGAGTCCCGCCCTATCACCAGAACCCCTGACCCTACCTGGGTTCATAAAATTCACAATTTTGAAAAAAAAGCATTCTTGCTCATTATAACTATATACTTAGTGAATTCGTTGCAAATCAGCAGCAGAAAAGATTTTCAAACAATTTCTGCATTTTCTCAAATAATCAATAGAGCCCCTCGCTAACATCAGAACCCCTGTCCCTGGGGCCATAAAAATTCACAATTTTGGAAAGAAGCATTTTTGCTCATCATAACTATATACTTAGTTAATTTGTTGAATACCCAGCAGCGAAGAAGAAGATTTTCAAAGAATTAAGGTAAGGTTTGCGTTTACAGGGAGATAACTCTTGCGAATGACCAAAGCGTTTGAAACAGGCGAATTTAAACCAGCAATGCTAAGCATCTCGGTAACATTGTCAATATTGTGTACAAGTATATGTATAACCAATTAAGTAATAATGGTATTAAATGTCAATGGATTGAATGTATTCAAAAGATTGTAAATAATTGTGGACTTTCATTTATATGGAATGGGCAAGGTGTGGTCAATGCTAAATGGCTAAGTGCTATTGTAAATCAGAATTTAAAAGACCAGCTCATTCAGAACTGGTCAAATGACATAAATAGTTCTTCCAAAGGCCAGATTTACAGAATTTTTAAAACCAAATTTGGATTTGAAAGCCGTATTAAAAATTTACACCCAAAACAAAGAAAGTTATTGATGAAAATGCGTACCTCAAATCATCATCTACCTGGAGAAATAGGGAGGTGGTGTGGCACCCCAATAAATGAAAGAGTATGTTTACTTTGTAACAAAGGAAAGATAGGTGATGAATACCACTACATTTTAGAGTGTACAGCTTTTTAGATAAGAAAAAAAATTACACAAAAGTTACTGCACTAGACCAAATGTTGTCAAGTCTTATGAACTCATGGCCAATTCGAATATACAATCTTTACAAAAACTATGTACATTTATTTCAAAAATATTTGAGACTGTCTGTCCTTCTTAGCTGTCCTCCTGGTGTTTTCTTTTTGCATATACTTTATTATTACATGTACTATATGTACATCCTCTCTACATGCAGTTGTAAAACATTTATATATATATTTATATGTGTGTATATCTATACTAAATGTACCTCTGACGACTTTATAGACATTGTATATACTTTATGTTCCTCATGTACCATTTTACTAAAAAAATGGGACGGGCAATATCTTTGAAAGTCATATCAAATAGTGAAGCTAATCTCTCTGAATAAATTGATATATAGCATGTGTGCATATTAAATGAAATATGAGTTGGAGGGAGACGCAAACCTTACCTTAGTGTATTTTCACTATATAATCAATAGAGCCCTGCCACTAGCACTAGAACCCCTGACCATGAGGCCATGAAATTCACAATTTTGCAAAAGGCATTCTTCCTCATCATAACTATGTCCTTAGTTAGTTTACTTAATACCCAGGAGCAGAAAAGAAGATTTTTAAAGAAATAATGCATTTTCACTATACATGTATAATCAATAGAGCCCCGCCCTAGCACTACAACCCCTGAACCCGGGGCCATGAAATTTACAATTTTTGAAAAACATTCTTCTTCATCATAACTATGTCCTTAGTTAGTTTATTTAATACCCAGAAGGAGAGAAGAAGATTTTTAAAGAAATAATGCATTTTTACTATATAATCAAGAGAGTCCCGCCCTAGCACTAGAACCCCTGACCCCGGGGCCATGAATTTTAAAATTTTTGGTAGAGGACCTTATGATCATTACATTCATGCTAACAGTTTGACTGCTTGATGTCCAGGAGTAAAGAAGAAGATTTTTAAATATTGCACTAATTTTAGTGGTTTTGGCCCCACCCCTCAGGCTCCAGGGAGGTAGGGACCATTAAGATACAAAGTAACAAAGAGTTGATTTTAACTTTGTTTATTACGTTACAAAACATTTTTTACAAACATAAGACCACAGATATCAAGATTCTTGACAGTATATGTAGCCCAAAACCTATCCTGCAAATCACATAAACATCAAAGGCAGAATACATTGATCCATACATTTCACAATTTTGGTAAAGGCACCTTTGTTTATCAAAAATATTTGAATAATACAAGGCGAAGATTTCAACCACTTGATTCATTTACAGTATATAAGAAGAGCCACACACCCCCTCTCTATTGTACCCATGACCCAGGGGCTTTGAAGATCACAATTCAGAAAGAATGGCCCTTGCTCATCATAGCTATATATTAGGTAGTTCATCTGCTTAATACCCAGGGGATTTTCAAATAATTTCTGCATTTTCTCTATATAACCAATAGAGCCCCGCCCTAACAACAAACCCCTTGACCCTGGGGTCATGAAATTCACAATTTTGAAAGAATCATTCTTGCTCATCATAACTATATACTAAGTTAATTCGTTGAATATCCAGCAGTAGAGAAGAAGATTTTCAAACAATTTCTGCATTTTCTCCATATAATCAATAGAGTCCCGCCCTATCACCAGAACCCCTGACCCTACCTGGGTTCATAAAATTCACAATTTTGAAAAAAAGCATTCTTCCTCATTATAACTATATACTTAGTGAATTCGTTGCAAATCAGCAGCAGAAAAGATTTTCAAACAATTTCTGCATTTTCTCAAATAATCAATAGAGCCCCTCGCTAACATCAGAACCCCTGTCCCTGGGGCCATAAAAATTCACAATTTTGGAAAGAAGCATTTTTGCTCATCATAACTATATACTTAATTAATTTGTTAAATACCCAGCAGCGAAGAAGAAGATTTTCAAAGAATTAAGGTAAGGTTTGCGTTTACAGGGAGATAACTCTTGCGAATGACCAAAGCGTTTGAAACAGGCGAATTTAAACCAGCAATGCTAAGCATCTCGGTAACATTGTCAATATTGTGTACAAGTATATGTATAACCAATTAAGTAATAATGGTATTAAATGTCAATGGATTGAATGTATTCAAAAGATTGTAAATAATTGTGGACTTTCATTTATATGGAATGGGCAATGCTAAATGGCTAAGTGCTATTGTAAATCAGAATTTAAAAGACCAGTTCATTCAGAACTGGTCAAATGACATAAATAGTTCTTCCAAAGGCCAGATTTACAGAATTTTTAAAACCAAATTTGGATTTGAAAGCCATATTAAAAATTTACACCCAAAACAAAGAAAGTTATTGATGAAAATGCGTACCTCAAATCATCATCTACCTGGAGAAACAAGGAGAAGGTGTGGCACCCCAATAAATGAAAGAGTATGTTTACTTTGTAACAATGGAAAGATAGGTGATGAATACCACTACATTTTAGAGTGTACAGCTTTTTAGATAAGAAAAAAAAAATTACACAAAAGTTACTGCACTAGACCAAATGTTGTCAAGTCTTATGAACTCATGGCCAATTCGAATATACAATCTTTACAAAAACTATGTACATTTATTTCAAAAATATTTGAGACTGTCTGTCCTTCTTAGCTGTCCTCCTGGTGTTTTCTTTTTGCATATACTTTATTATTACATGTACTATATGTACATCCTCTCTACATGCAGTTGTAAAACATTTATATATATATTTATATGTGTGTATATCTATACTAAATGTACCTCTGACGACTTTATAGACATTGTATATACTTTATGTTCCTCATGTACCATTTTACTAAAAAAATGGGACGGGCAATATCTTTGAAAGTCATATCAAATAGTGAAGCTAATCTCTCTGAATAAATTGATATATAGCATGTGTGCATATTAAATGAAATATGAGTTGGAGGGAGACGCAAACCTTACCTTAGTGTATTTTCACTATATAATCAATAGAGCCCTGCCACTAGCACTAGAACCCCTGACCATGAGGCCATGAAATTCACAATTTTGCAAAAGGCATTCTTCCTCATCATAACTATGTCCTTAGTTAGTTTACTTAATACCCAGGAGCAGAAAAGAAGATTTTTAAAGAAATAATGCATTTTCACTATACATGTATAATCAATAGAGCCCCGCCCTAGCACTACAACCCCTGAACCCGGGGCCATGAAATTTACAATTTTTGAAAAACATTCTTCTTCATCATAACTATGTCCTTAGTTAGTTTATTTAATACCCAGAAGGAGAGAAGAAG